ATATATATATATATATATATATATATATATATGTGTGTGTGTGTGTGTGCATGTATGTGTATGTGTTTGTATATGTGTGTATGTGTGTATATGTGTATGTATGTGTGTATATGTGTGTATGTGTGTATGTGAGTGTGTCCTCAAACGGGAAATTTAACATTGTAGTTTGATGGCCTCATCCTGTAAATTACCAATGTGGGCTTTATGGTCTCAAAAGGAATGTAATCGAATGGGGAGTGGTTGTCACGCTGGCTTCATATGGAAATGGTAATCTTATGTTTGTAGAGTGTTATATACCATTTTCTTGTTTAAGTATGTATGGCCTCATAGGGGAAATAAACATATTTTGATATACAGTACAACATATACCATAATAGCAAGAAAATGTTAAGTGTATTTTATTGTCACACCGTATGCTTAAATACCTATATTCAAAATACTATTTAACAGTAGGGGTAGGACATAAAAGAAAGATGATAAAACATAAGCAAACTCTCTCTCTCTCTCACACACACACACATACACACACATACACACATTATTTTATACCCTGGCAAAAAATATTATATAGTCACACATAAGAGAGAACGGTAGGATGTTTGAAGTTTTAGTTATAAACACACCCGTAGAGATGCACAATCGCACAAACAATGGCCAAAAACTTTGAGCTGTATATCTCTTTTCTAGATATATGAGAAGCCCTCAACCCATGAAATGGCGAAATTTCCGATCCAAGATTACATCAACTGTAACCATCAATGAGACCCCAGCAGCAGTTTGTTTTTGCCACTAAAAGAAACAGCAGTAGCTATATCATGAGACGAACTAGGCCATGGAAAAGGGTTACGGTCTATACCGGTGTGTTATGCTATCGCAGGTCTTAATGTTAGTGATTGGCTAACAAAGAAATAAAGACACTCATCTTCAAGATACTGTTCTCTGCTTCATACTAACTTTCATTTAATTTCCAGCTTAAATCAAATTATTGTGGGAAACGATCGATAAACACATGCCATGTAGAATCCAGCTTATACAGTACAGTTGGAGTTACTCTGATATTGGAGTTATAAAGAAAAACTAGTTACTTACGGTCATCTAGTGTATATAATATAGGTATACGATAGGTGGCGCTGTGAAGAAAAGTATCGAAAACCTCGAATTCCATGTTACCTAAGAACCTGTGATATTTTATTTAACTATCACTTATCTCTTAGAAAAAGGATATTACTCAAAATTCTCCCAGTGAAGTGAAACTTAAATCCCTTCATGATAGAATGTATGAGTGTGTTTGAGTATATTATTTAAACTGAAGGAAAAAAGCAAATCCAACAGTCGCTTACGTTTTATTTTTTCCATGGTGTGTATATGTGTGTGTTTTCTCATGAAATCATAATAAAATTCCATAGCACATCACAAAAGTCAATTTTCTTTTCTTTCTTTTTTATTTACTTATTCAGTTTTTCTTATTGTATCTCTTCTTGTAAATTTCTTTACAGGCGTGAGTTCTTCCTCTTCCCCTTCAGTATCTTTTATATCTCTTGCCATTTTGACTTTCTTGACGTGTATGGGTTCTTCTGTTTCTCTTTCTGAAAAACGTTCGTCCTCCTTCTCCGTTTCCATCTTGTTTTCCATTTTATTGGAACACTCTGAAGATCAGTGTCATTTTTCTCCACGTTGTTTACAGATATCTGCACTTTGGGTTTTCTTTTCTCCTGTTTTTCCTAGTCTTTGTTGTTGTGGAAACTGGTTTTTTGTCATATCTGTTGACATCATAGCATTAATATTTACTTTAATCCGTAGCGAAGTAGTTCGCAGTCTAGTTAGAAGTGTATTTTCGAATGAATCTCTGCAAATCTCTAACGAGAAGGTATATTTGTTTGACTCGTCCATCTACAAAGAATGCTGAATGAAAATATACTCTTAAAATGAGAAATTCTTATAAAGGGGGAGAGTTTGTATCCTTGTCAAATAAAATTTTAAATGAAGATGACGCTTTAAAACTGATGAGAAGCAAACAGAAGCCAGAGACCACATTCGATGTCGCGACTTATGCCAAGTAAAGTTTTAGAACACTTGCATTCTAGTCATGTTGAAGATAACATGAGTAAGCATTGACCAAATCTACCACAAGGCCATATGTGTTATGATTAGCAAAGAAAGAATGTTGTTCAGGAGCTCTCAAAGATTCTTTTTTTCTAGAGGTGCAAACAATGTGACTTCCTTAAATCTTCAATGGCAGCTTCCACATACAAGTCAACTTTAAAGAGTTCAAGAAAGAACTACATCAGCGAAACAACTGGTTTTATTGCAGGTTTAAGGGAATCATAATTAGAGACGTTGAAAACTACAGTGCCGTGCTAAAAACTACGACCGTAAGAAGCGAATACGATAATCTGTATTGTTTTTATTGCTCATATTGTTGTAAAAATCCATGCATACAAGAAAAGATTTCACTGGACTCTTAATAATAGTGCTACCTTTGCCGAATGGAATTTTGACAAAATAAATAACATATTAAAGAAAGAGGACAGTCAGTTTTTACGGAAATTTTCACTGGTCAATTTTTACTGGTCAAAATTTCTTAGGGTCTGACAGACTATATCTTTTGAAATATTACTCAGAATAAAGCATCGCATGTAAAACAAGCACGTTAATTGGAGTCACACTGATTTACATGGACGTGGAAACGTAACGTTTAAAGATTCAACAAGATATTTGGTCATGTCTTTGAATAAAAGGCCTACAATGTCTGAAATGACTAAAATAGTAAAAGTCTATATTCGATTTTTCTTCAATAGTGAAACTAATCAACACTTCGTTCTCCCGTATTTGCCTGGCGTTCGCATACTATTGTCAGCAGTGGATTTGCCGCAAAAAGCCTTGCGCTAACTAGATTACCTCTTTCAGATTGAAGACAAGTGGACACAACATGCTAGAAACAGCAGAAAAGAGAAAATTGGAAACTTTTCCGTTGATTAACAGGATTTCTAATAAACTCACAGGTCCTCTAAGACTATCAGTGATGTTTATTTCACTGATGTCCAACTTATGCTACTCAACGAGAAATGACAAGTCCCTTCTCATAAACGCATGATTTGAGAAAAGTCAAGAATACCAAGTGCAAAAAATGTTGGAACACAGCTACGATCGACGTTTCACGACCAGTCCAGACTTTAGACGCATTTGTCAGAGTCAGACGTGGTTGCTATAAAGCCTATAAATGCACGCGACAGTTAGTTTCGGGTACAAATCAATGTGACACATTTGCTATACGACGTGGACGAATATCAAGGAGAGAAATCAGATGCATTGATCTGTGTTCTTTATATCCTTGGGGTGGTAAATATGCAACATGGTGTCAGTAAATTGACCCTTTCCTGCAGTTTGTGAAGACAAGGTTCTTTATTTTCTAAATTGCAGATCGCTTAAGTTACGAACTTTTGTACCGTAGCACTGACAGCTAATATTCCAATTTAAATAATACAAATATTCAGTATACAAATGAATTTCGTCTGGACTTTCTGCATCTAGTAATCATCTATTAACTTGAACGCTTACTATTGGAGTTTACACACTTTAGGTTTAAACATATTAATTATATCGCAATCAAATACACATATTTGCACTTGGAATGGAATTTCCTTTATTGCTTTGTTAAGAAAAATATTTTGACCTTTATATGTCTCACCATACTGTTTGTAGCGAACTCTTTATATTTATAAAGTTTTGCTGGTTATATTCAGAATGATCAATGCTTACAATATCCAAACTAAAGGAAGTTGTACAATTAGTGGTTTATTTATTATGTATCTGTCACGTTGTGTGCGACAATTTGATAACAATTCCTGCCTCATGTTTACAATTGTCTTCTGATAAAATTCGTAAGTCAAAGTACTTTGGGTAATGTCAATACGTTTTATATAATATTATGACTTTAGACTGATTATGAAACAAAGAAATTACATGTACGTGCCTTATTAGTAGTGTCAAAAATGCAAATTCGCGGTTAATTCAAAGAGACCACCGGTACTCAATCAGATTTAAGACTGTCAAATTTTGGGCGGGTCTCTTACGCAGCGAAACGTTATCTTGTTACATTCGGTTTGAAAGAATCACTACAGTTTTGGAGGTAATAAAGAAAAACGAAGTACTCCGAGAACAAACAGGGCACTAGTAAAAAAACGAGCGGGAAACGTATTTCTATGAAATTCGAATGAGATTTGAAACAAAGGCGTCTGAAGCATAATATCTTCGATTGAATGTATCTCACTTTTCTAACTAGGTGTTGTAAGATTTATACTTTTATATGTGCATTTAATTTAGTAGAAATTTAGTCTTCAGTGTATAGTGGAATTATCAATATGTCGTAATGTAGCATATAGCGAATTATTAATATTCAAGATTAATGTATGTTGTTAGGATAGAATCGAATTTGATGGTGTAATCAGCTAAAATGTTATATCGTGGTGTATAACTGAATTTAGCAGTGAATAGTGTTAGAATTTGTACTTTTTATTTGAATATATAGTTATGGATTATACAGAGTTAGGCATTGTTGGCGTTGTAGACATATAATTAGGCATTTTTATATTTGTAGGTGTTTTTTTTAGAATTTGTAAGGTAGGAGTATTGTTGATGTTGATAATAAACTGCATCGAGAATTACATATATCTGTGTATGTATAAGCAGTCGTGATAATACTGTTGTTGTTATAGCTTTATTAAAGAATGTCGTATGTGGATTATTTATATGTGATATGATGTGATGTGGTTATGATTTTTAACGTAGCTTTAATTATTTTTAGTCATATCGCTACGATGTCTGCAGTCTAGCAGTTTATAGTGATGTCTAGCACTGGAGCATCATGCCGCAGACATGTAGCATGATGTCCCAACCAGTCACATTATACTGACACCAGGCCGACCAGTCCTAACACTAACCTCTTAATGTTGAGGGCCAAGCGAGATAGCTTTTAGTACAATTTTTGTAAGTCTTTGGTATGACTCGACCGGGAATCAAACCCACGAACTACCGCAACAGAGGCGGACGCTCTAACCACTAGGCCACCGGAGCGGTTTGCGAGTGTATAAATTGCCCTTATGATTTGATTCCCATTATGATGATTAAAGGTCTGTGAACATATGTTAATTTTTGTGTGATCGAGAAAGGAGACAACATTGTACGTCCCTTCTTATCTAAAGTAAGTTTTCTGGGTGGGATTGGACGCCACTCTGGTGACAGTATCTTTATAAGAAAAGAACCCCCACCAACCCTCCGTACAAAAAAATTACACAAAAGACAACGCAAAATTTTTTTAATGTCTAGTTTGAGAGGAAAACAAGGGCTACATGTAATACACCTCCACTTCTTACGAATTTAACTTTATCTGTCGAGATCATCTCAATGGTACGGTCTAAATATAATTGTCCGTGCCTCAATACTTTTTAAGATAGAGCAAGATATGGGAAGTCGGAACCAGTTAACCTTTTTACCAATAATATTAGGGTAGCATCCATAGGCAGTAGTAACTAAAGACCTACAGTTGCCACAAATAGGTTTGCTAGTCAGCCTCACTGATGGTGTACGCAAGCTCTCTACGGGCTGCTTTTATGAATTATGGTACTAATTCAGTTCCCATAGTAAACGCCATGATAGTAAAATTCAATATATTGAAAGTTCTGAGTGCCCTAGACAAAACCTATATTTATCAGTATAGATGAAACCTGGACGTCAGTTTATGTGTAGAGAAAAGGTTATGAGCCGCAGAATTTTCTTGACCTGCATGTGTTTGAAACACCAAAATAATCAAGTGTTAATTTTAGCAATGAGTGTTCCAAACTCAAGATTGTTAAAAGACTGAAATTCCATCAATAAAAAAAATGTCTGTATTTTTTTCCAATTATAACTAGGATAAGGTCTCAGAAGATTCTTTTTCCTAAAACATACCTTTTATTATCAACCAATCCTGGCCACCCAAGCCATATATGCTGTATTTTATGTTCAGCCATACCCAAGCTGGTTCACATTTTCCCATACCATTAGTACTGTGTGTTTTTAGCATCTTCGATAAGGATTTTGTCCCTTGGCTTATTAATGCCTCTATTTTACCCATTATTCAACGTTCTTTCAGGTGAGAAATCTGAATAGTAATTGCGTCAAACGAAAGTGTGAATGAACCTGAATATTTGTGTGTCAAATGACTCAAGACGTATTTACGGGGCAAATTTTTTATATGTCGCAGTATTTGTGAAAATTATGATTTTTACTTTTATGAATAATAATAAGAAACAAAATAAACTTTGTTTTAAATGATTTTTATATCAACTAACTACTTTTTTGCCTATTTTGAATACAATTCAGGTAAATCTAGGGACTATACTTTTATGGAAAACAATACAAGAAACCTGACTATGATTTCTGGATATTTTACCACTTATTCATTCACACAAGTCAAACAGTCTTAACGTTTATAATCTAATTTAAATTGAATTCGATATTTAAAAAAGCATATCCTTATGAACTGGTACATTTGCCTTTTTCTAATATGTAATTTCAATACATTGATTAAGACAAATGCAACAAATTTACAACGGACAGTGCAAATCTACTATCTAACTAGCCTGAGCTCCTTTGACTCTTAATGAATCTTTTATAAAACATACACAAGACAAATAAATAAAATAGAAACATCGTTATGTTTGCAAATCTTTACATGGCTATTCCTAAAGGAATTAAACCTTTAAATTTAAAAAAGTTTCAACTAGTTTAATTCACCTTGTTGCGGATAGTGGAAAATATCAATAAAGATTTTTATCAGAACATTTATTTATGTTCAACTGTCAGATGACCTGTAGCGGAATCGAATGTTCTGGAAACTGTTCATTTCTGATGGAAAATTCACAAACTCATTAAACAACGTCAGATGTTTAACTTAAATTTAAGTAAACATCTTTGTGCTTTGTAGAAGACATATTCCTCAGACAAGGACAAAATTTAAGCGCACATTATAGATCTACATAATATTAGACACTGTAGTCATCAACCGTGATCATGCATATATTACAAATCCATCATCCATCTCTCCACTAATTAGGAAAGCGATGAGTGGCAGTCATTGTGAGATGTACGAATGAGGAATACCTGGCGGAAAGTACAGTCTTTGGAGGGAAAGTTTATTCATCAGATTCATCACCTGTGCACCGTTTTCTGGTCTCGAAAACGATATGCATTGGTCTAACTCATTTCATACTTATACGAGATGAAGTCCCATATTAATATAAATAAATATTACGTCACCGTAACAGCACATATAATATGCTTGCTTGTGTTTAGCTTCTGTATTCTGTACACCACTGCAATTTGCACCCTTCATAAGTATGTTTTATAGATTGATACAATATTAATGAATTTAGGGTGTAAATCTTGTCTAGACAGAACCATTACGTTGGGAAATAATTTCGACAACATATATATCATGACAAGGACAATTTAACCAACATATACTAAGATTTATTTAAACTTGAACCACTGATGACGTTTCTTGAAACTATTCAATCTATTGGTCAAGAATATGATAAGTCATGTAATGGTCCACACGAAAGATTTCATTAAAAATGCTCTGAATTCTGAAGAAGAATATTATTATATTGAATCACATCCAAAATTTGGCAAAAAATACATTTGGAATATCTCGTCAATGACAAAGGCTTGATGCCACTGGCACGTGTAACTGGTGTGTCTATAGACACTGAGTGCATTAATTGCTATCTCGTAAACCATATCATGCAGGATGAAAATGCACTATTTATTATTCTAAGAAATGTCTTTCACCATCTTACATACAGTTTTAAGAGCAAAAATCACATTCTAACAGACATATTTGTACCAACTGACGTTTCTTAAGCCACAATCATGATGTAGCAGTCCAAGAAATGCAATAACCGACGTCAAGAAAACACTTAGGTTTACTACGTCTTTATCACCTAATATTGGTCTACTTGTTAAATGCCGTCTGTGATTTGTTAATATCGACTAATATCTTGGGATTGATGGATTATTATCATTTGGATTTGGGGTGTTTTAAACTGACACTGTGGAACGTATTGTTCAATAAATGCATGGAATTGTTTGCTTGTTTTGCTTTTAATGTAGTAGAATAATCAAAGTAATTAAATTGCTATATGAAAACATTTTTGGAATTATTACTTTGCTTAAATAAGAACGACGATTTAAATTAACATATCTTCAAAACCATGCTATCAACATGACAAATAAATATGGCGTATAAATGTAGTAATTTGATATTCTTGGACAAAACATCAGGTGGATATAATCTAGCCATTCGACGATTCTTCATTCATCCTCGCAGGGAGCCTATCAGGTAGGGGACTAATATTATGTTTTAAATTGATAAACCACTATTTAAATAGAAAGTATGGTGATTTCGTATATATATATATATATATATATATATATATATATATATATATATATATATATATATATATATATATATATATATATATATATATATAAACTAGAGTAAATAATGTCTAATTAGTATTCAAATATCTGTCAGAGAATAATAAAGTAAACAATAAAGTACATAGCCCTTTTGACATTGGTTCGCTACATTTAGTACAATAAACCACGATGTACAGGGCATTTGGATAGATACGTGGACTTTCATGCAAGAAAAACATGTACATCTAAAGCAAAGAAGCGTGGTAAGAAACAAATTTCAAGATGCTACACTCTAAATGTCTGAAAGGAATGCGTGAACGCTTTCTGTACCTTTCTAACCAGTTCACCCGACCATACAGTCTTCTTCACCATTATCTATTAATTTTGCTAGTTTCAATCATCTATTTGTAAATGAAAACAGTCACGTTAATCAGTACTTCAGTGGGTTCGAAGGAACTGTTATCTCGCAAGTTTTCATCCTTTATTTACATTTCACCATATATGCAAAAATACATTTCGATATAATTTATTCAAAGGACATAATACATGGTTTCAAACTTTGCTAAACGTGAACCGCGTAACGAGAAACGTCTTTCGAATTTGAGATATAATCATGCAACACCGTTAATCCCGTCTCATTTCTCTTGCTAAGCCTTTTCTAAAGCCAGCTGATTTTATCTATTGTAACCTATATTATCAGCCTGCTTTTATTGCTAACACTTTTTACACCCCTTCTCATTTCCATTGTCAAACCGTTTTATTGTCAGGCCGTTATTAAAGCTAGCATCTTTCATGCCTTTCCATTTCATATCAGGAGTGTTTTTAGTGTTATGACGTTTCGTCTCATTTCTATTATCCTGCCTCTTTTATTACCATCATATAACTGTATATTCCTTATTTGTTAATGAAAAACAAAAAATTACTCTTAAATAACAAATCTATTCATTATTATTAGACGAACTGAGATGAAATCATTAATTATTTTGACACAATCTATACATACGACAAGCTATCCAACAAATGTTCACCTTTTGTAGTTTCAAGAAACACAATATGAAATACCATCGTTCTAAGATACAAGTTAACAAGTAACTATGTGTCATTTCCTTCAATCCTTTAGGCTAACTTTAACTGAAAACCCTACAAATGAAATGAATTGCGACAGAAGTAGAAAATGTGTTAGTTATGTCAATACATATAATATATGTGAAATACACCAGTAACTGATCAGGGAATAGGGTCCCCACTCAATTTTGTCTTTTCCCAGCACCGCCAACCCCAAACAAATATATAAATGTGCGCAAAACAAGCGGTAAGGGTTTGTAATTAACATACATTAACAGTTAGTTGGTTAAAATCATGCCTTTACGGGATCTGACATCTGGTATAAAATGTACTACGTGCAAAGACGTTCAACTCGTCGCTGAAAAGTTATAAAATGTGAACTGCATTTAGTTCCAATGTATACATCGTACATTGACAAAGGAAGATTAAACTTGTTATTTCTAGAGTATATGGTCAAGGAAGCAAAGTGCCACCATGGTGTTCACTTTATGTCTAATAATAAAAGTCAAGCGCTTCAAGAACATTACCGATAAAAATAATTCGAA